AATTTTAAGAAAAATAGTTTCTTAAACGTTTTTCCGGGCTGGTAAAATAGCTTCATAAATTCGGCACTCTCAGAAATATTGAAAATCAGCAAAAATATTAAAATTACCGAAACTGAGGGTCCCCCGGTTGTTCACGTAAATCTGTGGCATCCAATCGTTTTAATCCAATAGATTTGTGCTATCAAGCGTTTATATCAGATTTTGTCGTGCTGTGAGAATTTCTCAGCTATATTTTTGGACGCTCCATCGGATGGCACAAGCCAGTCCAACAGTAATTTAATAGATATTGGAAAAATGATTAATGGCCTGATTCCCCGTGCCTTTTTGTACATACCTTAACGGATGGAATGGATCGTAAACTATTATATATTACCTAAATAAAATTAAGCAGGCGCTGAAATTAAACCATAAAATGCTTTAGATTTGCTGATACTGTATGCTGTGCAATCTACCACCAATCAGCTGGCATGCCTTCAGATGCATAACCCCTGGTGTCGGTCGCATCACGGCGCTGGCCCCAGGTCGAGATTTTGTGGAGCGACCTCCCAATAATCACTCCTCCTTTATTTCAGTGGGTCGCTGGTCCAAAGGCATGGCAGTGGTTTGCGATCATCTAGAATCCGGGACGATCACATACACTTCCGGTACGTACACAAATTCTATCGTCTTTGGCTTTTTACGCCATACCTTCCCTGTAGTGCTGTGGGCTCTTTATCAAAAATTTTGGTAGTTTCGGCTAAAGCATTATGCAACTACAGAGTCCCTAAAAAAATCGACCCCTCTAGCGGGCCGCAGTCAAAACCGATTTTGACGACTTAGGTATCTATCGAAAGGCACTCGAAAAGGCGAGAAAACAAGCACTTTCTCGTTTTCAATATGGGAATTTTAATCCATTAAATTTAGGGCCAAAATCGATGAAAACTGCAGATTTTATGCAAAATCGGCATGTTAATTCGCTTGCTAAAGCAAACAGGACGATGCTGGTTTTACGCTTTACAGAAATCATTGAATATCGAAGGAAGGCTAAAAATTTTTGGAAAACCAAAGGCGCTTGTTTTCTCACCGTTTGAAGGGCTTTCTGAATGTGTGTGAAAACATTCCGATCCGAGCTTTCGCGGTCCGCCAGAGTGTAGTCGATTTTTTCGACACGATTGCTCGCTTCCGGCAATAATAGCATTCGTTTTCCGCCCGTTCAGCGTTGAAAATTGTCCCGCACCAGCCTGGTTTTAATTTCGATAGTTACCAAAATTATATAGGCTCAGTAGCCTTTAGCCAGTATACTACCAAAATGTCGCGAAAGCGCCGCCAAAAAAATTCGGCATCTCGGTGAACTTCCGACCTGAAAACCAAACCTGATGATAGATACTTGGCGGAGATGTAACCCTACCGACGGACTTACCGGCTTTTGAAAGAAACGATCTTCGTCAGGTATTTACTTGAACAAGTATGGCAGTTAGCTCAATCACTTGCTGGAAAGCTTTGTCTGACGTTTCGGTTTTTCGGGTCCCTCCAGATCCGTGTGTTACGGCTAGTCCTTAATACCGGGACGCTAGAGATTGAGTTCGCTCCTCTAGCGTGCGGAGGAACGTTGATTTCTAGAAAATTTTCTTTCGCGCGCTGCCAAGACGAGCGGTGCTATTTTGTTTTTGCCCGAAGCGGTTGCCTCCATTTCTGTGTAAAACCACTAAAATTCGTAGTTTCTGAGCTCATTTCTGCAATCCTCTTTTAATTTTCAATTTTCTCCGTTTCTTGATCGGGCTTGGCTAGAGACAGTGAAGAACCGGATCCTGGAGGTGACGACGTGAAATTTCAAAACCCCCACGCTTCAGCCTTCTGGGCGTATAGAGGCCTTCAGCGTACATGGCTCCCGTTTCGGACCCTATCTCAATTTTTTGAGCATCGGAGCCCCCTTAGAATCAAAATGCACCTTGATACACTAAAATGCAATTCGCGCTTAATGATAGCATTCGCTTAGGTTTATCCTGTGCCGGGCGGCGACCGCATCTGTCTGCATAATGGGTTGGTTTTGGAAGACTTCAGAGCATCACCTATTTTGGGAACCTTGTGCACTACAGTTATACGTATTGGGCTCGACAACTTTACCGACCCCTTCTCCCCAAAGGGCCCTATGCCTACTTCCTTGATGCGAATACTGAAAAAATGAGCTTCCTTATCCTAACCAAAAGCAGGCAATGTGCCTACGTGGAGTTGAGCCATCACAGTCTGGGCTGGCGTAAGTTTTATTTTTAAGTGTACAGCGAAATGTAAATGGCTAGCGTGAGCGCTAATGGGGACGAATATTGGGAAGGAAAACTATTTGGGGAAGCACGATCAGGGGGAGATGATTGACGTTGAGCTACGGTTTGGCACGAAATCGAGAAAGGGGCAAGGTATATCATAGGGCGTCCATCACATGGCGGTTCATCTAAGCCGCATGAACTCCGTAAGAATTATTACACGGTAGCGTGTACTAACAGAGTCAATATCAGGCAAAATTTATTTTAGTTCTCGATATGGAATGCGACGCGCCCGTCTTCGTGGCAACGATTGACTATGAACCGTTCTCGCTCAACCATACGCCGCACTTCTGAGTATTTTGACAACTCTGCGAACCTGGTGCAAGATCGGTAAATGGATTGACGTTGAGAGAGAGCGAGAAAGAGAGAAAGAGAGAGCCTCTACTGATTTGAGAACGAAAATCCAACCAGTGTTTCCGTTTTCTTTCCATAAATCATTGCTTCTGTCAGATCACCGTAAGTGATGGAATAAAAACTGAAAATTAGCGATTTTGAGATCTATATGGACAGTGGGCTCTTCATCCCGCGCAGGCACCTGAGCCCAAGGACCTTCAAGCGATTCGTACCAGTGTGCCAAATGTCGTGTTTTGAGAAACGGTGAATTTAGATCGCCAGGTTTTAAAGTCGTCAAGGTCGCCTGCATCGTCACACCGCTGGTCAACCGAATTATCGTGGCAACCGAGTTGGTGATTTTTGCGTGGTCTTAGCAATTATTTCAGACACTTCCTGCTGATGGAAACTCGCTCTGGTTACATTGAGGTTCACGTCATTGACAAAATGAGTCGATTAAGCCAAACGTAAGTTTACACCCTACCACCTCGTTAAAATAACATAGTGCTGGGTTGGAAAACCGCTTCGCGGGTTTACAACCCTGTATGAAAAAGTACTCTGTATATAGGCCGGACTGTCAAAAAGTTCAAAAAATCCCTCTCAATTCCTGCGGATTCTTTAATTTAATTATTAAGTATCAATCTCTATCGTTCCGCAGAGTTGGCAAACCGCATCTTGCTCAGTTTTTCAAGCTCTTTCGAATGAGCTAGGTCTCGTGCCAAAACTCCATTTGCACCTAAAAACGTCTCCTTGTAAGAGGAGAGCAAAGGATCTTACAAAAAAACTAAGTTTAATGGCGAAGTTGGGTGAAAAGTCTAATATCTCGGACGCGATCCCGGCCCGTTCTACAGGGTGGCTAAAAAGTATTTGCCGCACCTTCGCTCCGGTTTCACCTGCTAAAATTTCTTGGAGCGATGAATAGGGGGTGTATTCTCGTAGGGAATTTTTGGATTCTATCGATTGATATATAGAAACGTTCAACTCCTTGCTCGTATAAATTTGGTGGGAGTTAAATACATAAAACGGTGTTTTTATATGGGGTTTTCGGCACCTTTGAGGCCCTCGAAAAATTTCTTAAGGGGATATCTTATTATTTTCCGGTGCTGTTTCGTAGAAACAATGATCCAAACTATCTAAAAAAAATTATGCTCGGGGGCACCTCGAGACTTAGATGGATCACGGAAGTGAAAGTAAAATTTGGCGAATGAGGGTGCGCCGAGAGTCTGGCGGCTGGCAGAACCATTTGCTGCAAAAGAATGGATTCTAAATATCGTTAATTCGAGAGCTTGCCTTAAATTTACTATTAAAATGTAGTTAATGCATGAGCCTACCACGCTGACACTTTGAATAAGGCCAAAATAATTGAAAACGCCGGCCTAAAGCATTTGAAAATTGTTCGAAACCAACGGCAAGAAAGTGCTTCTTATTATTCTTTTATGGCCCACAGTATCTTTAGTTATTGCTATCCAGCGAGCTTTTCTTATCCTGGCGGTTGATTTTGTTGCGTCCACAAAAGAAAAAGTATTAGTCGCATGAAAATGTGGATATTTGAGCCATTTTGTTTTTGTGCTGTAAAAATTTCTTGTTCCGGTCATTTTGGGCACTCAAGAAAATCGCGAAAAACTTTTCGATACGGCTAAAACGAATTTTTCTGGTTGATACGTTCAATAAAGAGCCTTGCAACGAACAAAAACCCCAACTTCCTATTCTGATTGGTTGGAAGCAAAAACCGCAAAGGTCAACACTAAAGGCAAAATACGTGCGGCGCAGGCTCAGATTTGGACGCACCTTTAAAAGACCGTATCTTAAAAATCTGAGGTCTAGGGTGTTAGCTTTTTTGATAGTCGTAAAGAGAGGTCTTTTGGCTACATCCTACCTTATATAATTTGGTCGCGTATGTGTGTGTGTGTGTGTGTGTGTGTGGATGTCACTTTCGAGGCCCGATTTGAGGGCCTTCCCGTGCATAAAATGACCTAATTCTGCGTCACCCGGGGGAATCGACCCTTCTGTTTCCGATGGCGCTTTCAGAACTTTGATAAAATACAAGTTTACAAAGTTAAAGCCGGTTTTATTCATTTTTGGGGGTCCCTGAAGGCTAATTTGCATAATGCGAACAATACAAATTTCCTCATTCTTGCCGGTTGCACTCGCCCGTGTGGTCGGTAAAGGGGAGGGGTCAGAAGGACCAGTGATCGGAAAGTCAAATTTATCATGCAAAAACCGCATTCCAGCGCCCAAGGCCCGCGAAGCGGGTTTTGGGCGCTGGTTTTGGCTATAAAATGGCAACGAAGTCGGACACTGAGAATTTTTGAAGGAGCTTTCTCTGCGGCAAATACTTTCTAGCCACCCTGTACACTGAATTTAGACCGTCCAATGAATCGACAGACCCGATTTCGGAGGACAACATTCGTGGCCGGAAAATCGTGGATATGGCCGTCTCATCGCACTCCCGACATTATTGTGCTGCTGGGTGTGGATATGTGGTCCATTATGAAAGGTGGGGTCTTACGAACTGTGTGTGGGTTCAAAATGACTGTCAGGTAATGCAAATGAAATTACAGTTCAAGTGGCCTACCGCCAGGGGCGCTGGAAAAGCCTAAATGGGATGTCCATTGCGCGTTCATTTCTGGGAATTGGATACTTCGGCCTCTTGCCGTCAACTAAGGTAAAAACAAAAAACCGTCACATTATTTTTTGGAGCTAGGTATTTGGGTACGCTTGGGCCAGATTGTGGACGATGGTAGAAAGGTAAGCGAACCTGCTGGCAACCTTTTTCCCGCCGATGAAATATTAATAACGCCAATGATTTAATGGAAAAGTACAGGGTGCCCCAATAAAAAAACCTCTTCTATAATCAACAAAACAAAACGCTGAAGTATCGGATCCGGATGATGGTTACACTATCCGAAAAGCCTTAAGCGGCGAAAAAACCGTGCTTTGATTTAAACGCGCCATTTACAACCGATTTAAAGACTTCCAGAAACGGCCTCTGCATCTAAATAGCAACTACTTCCGGTCCTTCTGCTGGAAAAAATTGAGGCAAAGAGCCCGTATGCAATCCCGAAAAACGAAAACATACAAAACCGATTATAAGATAGCGGGTTTAAATCAAAAAAATGGTTTTGAAGATTGTTGCAAACTCGCTATTTATCATTTCGAATGATTTAGAATTCGAATTTTGAATAATTTTTCCAAAACGCAA